TATATATATACAATATGTATACGTATATGCATATAATAATATATTATATATATAATATAAATAAATAAATATAAATAAAATAATATATATAATTTATTAGGTATATTATTAGCAAATAAAATAAAATAAATAATATAAACAAAAATATGTAAATAAATATAAATAAATAAATAAATAAATAAATAAATAAAATAAATAAATAAAGTAAATAAATAAATAAATACATAAATAAATAAATAGCATAAAATAAATAGACAAATAAATAAATAAATAAAATAAATAAATAAATAAATAAATAAATAAATAAATAAATAAAATAAATAAAAGTGTTAAAATAAAGTTGTGTTGGGTACAACAAAATACCCCAAAAAAATATCCAATATATACCCTCTGCTGCAGCAGCAACTGCAGCAGCAGCAGCTAGCTGCAGCAGCAGCAAACTACTGCTGCAGCTAACTACTGTAGCTAGCTGCAGCAGCTAGCCATGAGCTAGCTGTGGCTAGCTGACCTCTTCGATGCTGCTCTTGTCTAGTGCTGCAGCAGCTGCAGCAGAAGTTGTCTGTACACCTCAAGCAGCAGCAACGAAGGCAGCAAAAAAGGCAGCAGCAGCAGCTGCTGCAGCAGCAGCAGCAAACCCGACAGTTCGTCTTTGCTGCATACAGCCAAGGGGTACAGATTGGAGCGGTGAGTTGGCTAGCTAGCCAAATCTATGGCTAGCTAACCTTATCCTTGGCTAGCTATTATGCATATATCTGTGGCTAGCTAGCTAGCTAGCTAGCTAGCTAGTTATATCCATGACTAGCTAGCTAGCTATATCCATGGCTAGCTAGGCAAGGCCCAAATCGGCCTAGCTAGCCAAGGAGACCTGGCTAGGTAGCTAGCTAGGTAGCTAGGTGGCCAAGGAGGCATAACTAGCTAGCTAGCTAACTAGCCAACTAGCTGGCTAGCTAGCTAGCCAAGGATATAAAGAGGCGGACTGTCATCATAAGACAGCAAAAATGCCTCATAAAAGGAAAAGCAGCTAGCTAGCTAGGTAGCTAGCTAGCTGCTCAGGTAGCTAGCTAGACAGGCAGCTAGCTGCTCAGGTAGCTAGCTAGACAGGTAGCTAGCTGCTCAGCTAGGTAGCTAGACAGGCAGCTAGCTGCTCAGCTAGCTAGGTAGACAGCTAGCTAGATATAATGCTGGCTAGGTAGCTGTGTAGCTAGCTAGCTAGCTAGCTATATTGCTGGCTAGCTAGCTGTATAGCTAGCTAGCTAGCTGCAGGCAGCAAACAAGAAAGAACAGACATTTGCTGTTCTTATAAATAAGTTGTGTCTTTATAAAGACACACGTCTATGTAATAGATGAGGAACAGACATCTGCTGCTGCTGCTGCTGCTGTTGCTGCTGCTGCTGCTGCTGCTGATTTTGCTGTTGCTGTTCCTTGTAAGGATGAGACAGAAGACATAAAGCAAACATCCCCATCTCCTTCTACCACCCCCTTATTGCTGCTGTTGCTGCTGCTGTTGCTGCTGTTGCTGCTGCTGCTGTGTGTTGCAGCAGCAGATAATCCCATAATCCTTCCTTCTTTTGCTGCTGCATTTGCTGCTGCATGTGCTGCTGCATTTGCTGCTGCAGGTGTATCTATCCCATCTTTCTTTGCAGCAGAATTAGCACTATTAGCAGCACCACCAGCAGCAGCAGCAACAGGAGCAGCAGCAGCAGGAGCAGCAGCAACAGGAGCAGGAGGAGTAGGAGTAGGCCTTTGTGCCTTTAATGAATATTGATGTAATTGAATAAGTAAATCTTTTTGTGGTGTAATACAAGAAAGATGAATAAAATGATAAACAAAGCCCCAATGTGCATGCATTATTATTTGTATTAATGTATGTAATAAAGATTGTAATAAAGGCATTATAAATAATAACTTTATATAAGGTATTTCTTTAGGTAGTAGCAGCAAACATGCATGCTCCTGCTGCTGCTCCTGCTGCTGCTGCTGCTGCTGTGGTTGGTGCTGCAGGAATTGCTGCTGCAGTAATAATGATCCTTGTACACCTAATATATCCATGCTGCTCTTTAATGCATTTACTAATAACTTACAAAAATTACTGTTGTTGCTGTTGCTGCTGCTGCTGCTGCTGCTGTTGCTGCTGCTGCTGCTGCTGGATTCTACCTGATCGCCTTTGTTGCCTGTTGCTGCTGTTGCTGCTGCTGCTGCTGCATTGGCACTGATCCCCTGTTGCGGGGGAAGCTGTAGTGTCATGGGTGATTCACCATCTGCTGCTGCTGCTGCTGCTGTTGCTGCTGCTGCTGCTCTACCAGGAAGGAATATATCTGGGCTTGTTGTAGGAGAACAAGTTGTTGTTAGAGGAGAGCTGCTGCTAGGTAATGTGCTGCTGCTGCTGCTGCTGTAGGGTACAACACAAGTTACCTTTTGCTGCTGCTGCTGCTCCTTGCTTCCTTTCATCAACTCCTGCTGCTGCTGAGGCTGATCCTGCTGCATTTGCTGCTGCACCTCCTGCTTATGTCTTTCCTGTTGCCGTTGCTGCTGCACTTGCTGCTGTTGCTGCTGCTGCAGTTGCTGCAGTCCAGGGAAGATACGTTGCAGGAGTTGCATTTGCGTAGAATCTGTATTACTATCTGTTGTCCCTAAGGACAATAATTTATCTTGCTGCTGCTGCTGCTGCTGCTGTTTGCTGCTGCTGCTGTTGTTATTGTTAAGAACAGCAGATAGCAGCAGCAGCAACGTCTCTATGTGCTGCTGATCGCATGCACAAGGCCGCTCCTGGCAGCAGCAGCGCGAGACATCAAAGGGCCGCAGCAGCAAACCCTGTAGTGCTGCTTCGCTATCTATAACTAATTCCTCCTCTTCTTCCTTATCCTTGCTGCTGCTGCTGCTGCTGCTACTACTACTACTACTACCACCACTGCTGCTGCTGCTGCTGCGGGTACGACGCAGCACAAGAGGAAGACAGGAAGCAGCAGTAGCTCTTATAATAAAGTGTAGATACACCGGGACAGGTAATTGTAATTGTGTTACATTTGCTGCTAACTTCTGGTGCTGCACTAGTAAGCTAAATGCACGGCATACATTTTCCTCTATTTCTTGCTGCTGCTGCAGATGCTGCTGTTGCTGCTTTTGGTCAGGTTTAGAAGGATTGCCTCCTGCTGCTGCTGCTGCTGCTGCTGCTGCAGCAGAGGAGGCTGCTGCGTTGGTTGTTTCTGTACGACGCATTTTAGGGGAAGAAGAACTTGCATCGGATAATTCTGTTTTTGCTGCTGCTGCTGCTGCTGCTGCTGCAGGAGAGGAGGAAGCAGCAAGTAGAGCTTCACGGATCCCTGACCTATCACTGCCCTCCCCCTCTTTTGATCCCTGACCCCTCGCATCTGCTGCTGTTGCTGCTGCTGCTGTAGCTGCTGTTGTTGCTGCTGTTTCCCCTGTTAGTGCAGCAACATCTCCACTTTCTGCTTTTGCTGCAGCATTTGTCTTCCCTCCTTCTGTTGCTGCCGATCCACCACCAGCAGCAGCACTCTGAGTATCAGCAGCACCTGCTGCTGCTGCAGCAGCTGCAGCAGCAGCAGCAGCAGCAGCAGCATGCTGTGTCTTTGCTTGTTGTGTAAGAGTAACAGCATTTTGTAAGACAGCCTTTATATGATAAATAAGAAGACAACTGCTGCTGGATAATTCAGTAACAGCACGACTAAGAGACAGCAGCAAGGAAGGAGATGCTCCCTTTATTCCTCCAGCAGCAGCAGCAGCAGCACCAGCTGCTACTGCTGCTGCTGTTGCTGTTGTTGTTTGTGGTGGTTGTGATCCTATATAATCTATAGACGATCCCCTGGGATCGTCTATTATCCTACTGGGATCGATCCTGGGATCGATGGGATCGAGTCTGTGGGGATCGACTTCTTTGCTGCTACGACGACCAACTGCAGCACGAGATGCAGCAGCAAAACAGTTCTGTAGCTCAGGTAATAAGGCGCATGCACCCTCAAATATAGCATTGCTACTGCTGCTGTTGCTGCTGTTGTTGTTTCCTCCTGCTGCAGCACCACGGAGAGGAGATCCACCAGCAGCAGCAGCAGAACGAAGGAGAGCACCAGGAGAAGGAAATCCTCCACAACCACTCCTCCCGCTGCTGCTGCTGCTGCTGCTACTTCCTCTTCTATTACCACCACCACTGCTGCTGTTGCTGCTGCTAGATAACAATGCTGCTGCATTAAAGTCTGCTGCTGCTGGTAACTGCAGCAGATCTCTATCTTTTATTCCTCCATCAAGTGCTAATGTATTATAAAAATTATTATTATTATTATTTGCTGCTGCTGCTGCTGCTGCTGCTGCATTATTAATCTTTTCTCTAACGAATTCCTTTAAGAAACAATCAAACCATAGGACTGTTTCCTCATGGTGAGCTGTACGTACACCGCAATCTGCGGTGTCTTCGTTACATTCAATTAATTGTCTTTTTCTTCTTATATCATCATTTGTTTTATTTAATACACCTCCTCTTCTACCTTGATTATGCTGCTGCTGCTGCTGTTGTTGTTGCTGGAGGTGCTGCAACAATAGATGATGATGTTGCTGTTCTTGCCATGATGATGTAGATGTATTATTACAATGAGAAATACCTGCTGCTGCAGCAGATGCATGCTGCTGTTGCAGCAAATGCTGCTGTTGCTGCTGAATATTTCGAGATATTCCTCCTAAATTAAGAGGTGTTTGTATTAATCCTTTAGGTCCTCTTAATAGATATCTAGGTGGACTACCATTTCCTCCTCCTCCTCCTGCTGCAGCTGCAGCAGCAGCAGCAGCAGAAGCAGAAGATCGTCTACTTGCAATATGTGGTGGACTTCCTATAGTACCATCACTACTATCCGAAGCAAATGAATGTGCTGCAGCAGCAAAATGTTCAACAGCAGCAGCAGGACCTAATTGATGTAATAATTGATGATTATTTAATATTTTTTGTTGCTGTTGTTGTTGTTGCTGCACATGCTGCTGTCTTTGTACATATAATCTATCATCAATATCCATACATGCATGCTGTTGTTCTTGTTCTTGTTGTTGTTGTTGTTGTTGTTGTTGTTCTTGTTGTTGTTCTTGTTTTTCTTGTTGTTTCCCTTGTTGTTGCATAAGATGGTGTTGTTGTCTCATTGTATATTGTATATTATATTTCCCTTGTTCGTCTGTTTCTGCAGTTCCTCCCTGTTGTTGTTGCACTTGTTGCACTTGTTGCTGCTGCACTTGCTGCTGCACTTGCTGCTGTTGCTGTATAGGTAATGTCTCATATGTATTAACATATTGTGCAAATTTGAGTGCTAATTGATGTGCAGATTCATATCCATAATATTTAGCAGAATATGTTCTCATTCTTCTTTTACCATTCATATAATAACGAACTCTCCATTCTTGTTTAGCTATATGATAATGAGGACGATTTCCTCCTAATGTTGCATCTATACGATTATTATTATTTATATTATTATTTATATTATTATTTATATTATTATTTATATTTATATTATTATTTATATTATTATTTATATTCTTATTATTTATATTCTTTATTGTATTTCTTTCATAACTATATCTTGTTGTTAATGATGGATCTACTATTACACGGCTCCTATTTATACCTGATGATATAGATGATATACATATAGATTTATCCTCTCCTCCTCCTCTTGTTACTCCTCCTCCTGTTCCTGCTCCTGTTGTTCCTGCTCCTGTTGTTCCTCCTGCTGTTCCTGCTGTTGTTGCTGTTGTTGCTGTAGATGATGATGATGATGATGATGCATGTGGTGGTGTATTTGTTGGTTGACAAAGTAAACGTGAAGAAATACGATTCAGCATATTGCTGCTGCTGCTGCTGCTGCTGCTGCTGCTGCTGCTGTTGCTGCTGTTGCTGTTTGGGGATTCTCCTGTAAGAGAAAATAAACTTCCAAATCCATTAGGACCAAACAATCCACCAAGACCATTGCTGCTGCTGCTGCTGTTGTTGTTGTTGTTGTTGCTGCTGCTGCTGCTGGTGGTGGTGGTGTGGGGGGGTTGAAGGATATCTGCTGCTGCTGCATTTTCCTCACGTTGTCGCCATTCAGATAAAAGAAGCTCAGATAGACCAGCACTCTCTAGTTGCTGCTGCAGCTTCTGCTGCAGTTGCTGCAGTTGCTGACGTTGCTGCTGCAGTTGCTGCAGCTGCTGCCGCTGCTGCTGTTCCTGCTCGAGCATTTTGCTCAGCAGCAGGAAAACAACAGCAGCAACAGCAGCTAATCTTGATTAGCTAAACACAAATGCTGCAGCAGCACAGATCAAGACACACCAATATATGTACTTGTGTGTGTACACTGCTGCTGCTACTGCTGCTGCTGCAGCAGCAGCTGCTGCTGTTGTTGTTGTTGATTTCTTCCCTTTTTTCTTGTCAGCAGCAACAGCAGCAAACAAGCCTGTTTATACTTGACAGGCGATGCTCTTAGTAGAGGCAATATAAACCTCAGCAGCAATAGCTCTGCTGCTGATACGGCAGCAGCAATGTCTGCTGCTGCTGGGGCTCTTGTTGTTGTTGTTGCTGCTGCTATTGCTCAGTGAGGAAATACGGTCTGTACAGCAATCGTTGCTTGTTCAGCAACTGCAGCTGCTGCAGCAGCTGCAACAGCAGCAGCAACAATGTTTCTTAGAGACATGCATGCTGCATAAGGGAGAGAGAGGGGGGGGAGGAGGAGCCTCACTTTCTCTCCCAATAAGAAAAAGAAGAAAACTTCATAAATTATTTTGTACCTGAAAAATGTTCAATATACACCACAAATGTCTTGCTGCTGCTGTTGCTGTTGCTGTTTCTGCTGCTGCTGCGGGTTATAGGAAATATATGTATATAAATACAGCTTCTGCAGATAGAGGATACGCGGGGAAGAAGGGCCAAATTGACAGCCGAAGGATTCCCGTCAAGAAGAACAAGTCAAGAGATATAGCCCAGGGTTTGGGGGTGTATAGTCAGCTGTTGCTGCTGCTGCTGCTGTCAATGGCTTATATACAACAGCAGGGAACACCTACTGCGTATGGGGCCGCTGGGTGTGTTGACTGCAACAGCAGGGAAATTGCTGCAACTCTCTCTCCCAATGCGATTAAACAGATAGTTGAAAAGAAGGGGAGGGAGAAGAAAGAAGATAAAAGCAACAGATCCACAAGAGCGGGGCCGACTGTATATTGCCGCTTGGCCGTCTTGCTGCAGCTGCTGTCGTTGCTGCAACAGCAAACTGGGGGGTTGCTGGAGGTAGAAGGGAAATAGAGGCAGACCTTATTCGTCTTTAGTTTTAAATTGATATTTAAAGTGTTTTATTTGAATTTACATTGAAATATAAGGTATTCATCGGCAAAAAAAGACGTAAAGAGCCGGCGAATAATGTATTCATATATGAGCGACGGTCGCGCCGTCGCCTCTTTTGCAGAACTCGGTACACCTCATTCGCGGTGTACTGTAAAAGGGGCCGTGACAAGGGTGCGACAAGAAATCAAACCCTTAAAAATAAACATAAATTAACATAAAAATATAAAAAAAAGAAAAGAAAAACGAAATTGATTCACCAATGGCTCTCCTAGGCCGCCGGCCTTCTTTGGCGGCCGCCCCGCCCCCCCCGCCACCGCAGAACCACCGCTACCGACCAGGAGGGAAAGCTGTACGATCTTCGGTGTTCCCATGTATAAAAGTCCCTCGTTTTTTGTATTTACACAATACTAATTAAGGTAAATCTCTTTATAATATTTAATTTGGTGTTTTTTGAGTAGTTTTTAGGGTATGAACCATGTGCACGGAATACCGAGTGGCGGGCGGCCACCACCGCGAACCTCCTCTGACTTTCTCCCACCATCATGAGAAAAAGAAGAAAAAAGAAAGAAAATGTTTGTTTTGTTCTCGCAATTCTACAAAAGTATTTTTAAGCGACGGATTGCACAAAACAAAAGAGAGGAAAAAGTTCAGCGTGCCAATGGAACGGTCGGCAGACCGCTGGGGGCCTTGAAAATAGTCATTGTTGTATCAGTAAAAGGGAGAAAAAAACAGGAAAAAAGTCAATATCTATAAAAATACATAAACTAAAATAAATAAATTAATAAATGCTTTTTCTTTAGCTGCTGGATCAGCAAACTGTGATGACCATTGCATCCCCATACACACACACAGCAGGCACACAAACAATATGTGACGAGAAGACGGCGGGAAAGAACTTTCCCATCTGTCGTAGCTGTTCAAGGGGAAAGGAAGCAAAATAAAGGGAGAAAACAACAAAAAGACATTCCTTTCTTGTTATTATCTGTTAATTCATTTATTTATCCATTCATTTCCCCCTTTTTCTAGCCTAGATTTTCCTGGTTTTCCTTAGTTATGAGCTGCCTATACACCCGCAAGTTGAACTCGAAGGTGGATCTTGCGGCTATCCTTTGCCTTCTGCCATTTTATTCTTTTTAATTCTTTTTTCATACATGTCCGTCCTAATAAAGCTCCTTCCTTTTATTTATTTAAAGACTTCCTCCTAATTCTTTTATATATTCTCCTCCGCATTTTATTGCTTCTTTCCTTGGACCTCCCTCCCCTCCTCCCTACAGGAATAGGGAAACCCTATAAGGAAGGGAAGGAACCAATAGGAGAATAAGCAGATAAAAACGCATTTATAAATAAACAAAAAGAAACAGTAAGGCCAAGAAGCCAAACAAGAATAAACAAATACAGAAAAAGCCTCATAGTGTATGCTTCCCCTAAGTACAGACCACAGCCCTTTTCTTTTTCTTTCTCTTTCCCTCTACCTCTTTTTGTGTCTATGTATTTCTTTCTATTTATCTATTTTTGTTTGTTTACCTCCCTAATTAGTGTCTATTGTACTGTTATCTCTCGCTACCTCTTGTCTATATCTACCTCTACCTCTCTCTCTCTCCCTCTTGCTGCATAGTAGTATTCTCCCCTTTTATTACTCCTTCTATTTAGATAACTGTTGCTGCAGCAGCAACAAAGCAGCAGCAAAGAGCAACAAAAACAAAATCAAACGAGCAGCAAACGGAGAGTCCTCGGCGCTGCTGCTTAGCAGCAACTGCAGCAACAGCAGCAAAAATAGCCAAATAAAGCAGCAAGTAGATAATATATATATATATATATA